CCCCCAAGCATCCTGAGGTCCAGGAGTCAGTGTGCCAAAGCCAGGCACAGTGGCACCGTGTGTAATCCCAGCACTCAGAGGTTCGAGGTCAGCCTGGGACATCGTGAGCCCCTATCTCAACCAAAAGAAGTAGGGGGGAGGGTGGTGCGGGGACTGAGCCCTTTCCTTAGGGAGTGACTTCAGACACGATGAGAAAGGATCTTGACGGTCCTGAGGTCCCTACTCTGCCTCACAACTAAGCAACACTGGACAGGGCCCTGGGTGTCAGGCTGCACTGGCCGGCAGATTTAGGCCTTATGGATGGTTTGTTGATGTATTATAATATACATATAAAATTTAGCACATGCTTGGCAAAAAGCCAGTGTGCTGTGACTAAGTTACTACATAATCCCCACAGGAAACGATTCCCAGGTGAAGAGTCCCGTTTTTACTGATTGAGAAAACGGAAACAGAGGAGAGGTAAAACCATCCACTTGGGATAATAGCACCTGTAGGTGAAGGGGTTCAGAACGTGGCACCCCAAAACCTGTCCCTTGGGCGAGTTGCGTGCTTACAAAGAACCAGCTACTCGGGGAAAGCCCCTTTCTTTAACTTTGCCTCGGTGGCCCGAGATGAAGCATGGACCCCTCACTCGGTGGCCACTTTCTCCAAGGAAGGCAAAGCCTCCTAGAGACACCCTCCCCGCCCCCACCCACCGCTGTAATGACCAAAATGAACACCACCTAAATCAGGGTGCAACATGAAAGCACTTCAAGGTTTTAAAAGTGAGAAAGTGGCTGTGTATGGTGAGACGCATCTCTAATCCTCGGCTCCAGAGGCTAAGGCAGGAGAATCATGAATTCACAGCCACCCAGGGCTTCACAGCAAGACTCTGCCAAAAACCAGGAGAAAACCAATCGTGAACAAGTGAGAACAGAGACGGTAAACACATCCACCTCTGGAAAAGAGGCAGGTGTGGCGGACATGCCACCCACCACCAACAGCCCCACCCCCTGTTCCTTCCAGCCCTCCAGGCCCTTCCTGGAGTCTTTTGTGTGACTCCAGGTACAAATGTAATTAAAATAGTCTTTCTCCTGTTAGTCTGTCTCGTGTCAGTTTAACTCAGAGATCGGCTAAGAACCCCACAGCAGGAAGCGTGAAGGAGGTCTGACTGCAACCCCACATGTCTGTGCATGCTGCTACTCCTTCAGCTGTTCTCACGCCTGCTGCCCGCAGATGCTGTGGAAGTCGTCCCGTGGTCCAAAAGCGAACTAAGACAATAAGGAAGAAGCTGGAGTTGTTCATCCCTTTCAAGGGCAAGCCCAAGACCTCCCACCAGGCACTACCACCTCCCACCACTGCGGTTGAGGTGGGTGGGGAGCAGCCAAACCATAAGTATAAGTGGTCTTTCTCTGTCCCGCCAGCCAGCCCCCCCAAAAAACGACATGGAGACGTATTATTAATTACAAAAGCTCGGCCTTAGCTTAGGCTTGTCCCACTAAGTTTTATAATTTAAATTAACCTGCTTTTATTAATCTACATTTACTATGTGGCTTCTTTCTTTCTTCTTTTCTTTCTTCCTTTCTTTGTTTTTCAAGACAGGGTTTCTTTGTGTAGCTTTGGTGCCTGTCCTGGAACTCACTCTGTAGCCAGGCTGGCCTCGAACTCACAGAGATCAGCCTGCCTCTGCCTCCCAAGTGCTGGGATTAAAAGCGTGCGCCGCCACCGCCACCGCCACCGCCACCCAGCCTATGTGGCTGTCTACCTTTTGTTTATTCTGTATGTCTGATTCCCTCCATGTCTCTTGGCATCTCCTCTGTGCCTCAATTATCTCTTCCTCCTTCCTTTCTCTCAGCCCAGAAGTCTTACCTATACCTCTTGCCTAGCTATAGGCGCAAGGCTACACAGAGAAACCCTGTCTCAAAAAACAAGCAAACAAAAAAGAGAAAGAAAAGCAGTGCATATTATTCTCCTTCCCTCTCCCTCTCTTTGCTGTTTTTTGTTTTGTTTTTGGGGGACAGGGTTCCTCTGTGTAGTCCTGGCTGTCCTGGAACTTGCTCTGTAGACCAGGCTGGCCTTGAACTCACAGAGATCCACCTGCAACAGAAGAGTAACCAACTCAGACACGACTGCTGGATATAGTCTTGAGTGTCTTGACGTCCTTCCCCAGAAGCCTGTCTCGTCCCTGAGAGTTCCTCGTGGGCAGTTCTGTTCTCCCTTCTCTGTCTTCCTTTGTGTGGTCAGATCACAGATGCTGGTCCAGTCCATGTCTGTACTTCACAGAAGAATCTCCGAGCTGGTCACAGCTCTGTGCACTCCTTCTCAATGACCCACACACTACCTGGAGTCTCTGGGAAAGTTCCCTTGTATAGTTTGATGCCTACTAGGTTTTCAGCTGACTGAATGCAGTGTCTCGGTCTTGTTGGTCAGGTTTCAGCATACAGTCCCATGACACTTGGTCTGTTTCCCAGGCGTGCAGTTCATAGAGGGTCTCGGACTGCTGGGGCATCTGCTTCTGCTCTGTGGATTGCCCAGTGCCCGGCACTGAGCATAGGAGAAAGCCCTTTTCCTGGCGTCCCCTTCTGATAATGCAGCTGCCACCCTGGGTGTGGCCTTTTCCCAGCTGCTTTGAGTGTCCATAGCTGTTCTGATAGCTGTTTCTCAGCTTGTCCCAGATTATCGCCTGGGGACTCCGGCAGGCCATGTGTGTCACTGTCTTCTTGAAACCTATGCTGAAGAATTTAAGTATGAAACACTATAATGTCTGGAAAGGGAAGGCACACATACGTGAAACCAGCGTGCACACTGTTGACTGTGAGAGGTGGAGCAGTAGATATCCTATGCATAGGATATCCATAGTCACTATTGTTATACGTATTTGGGAATGCTTTTCTTTTTATTTTTGATGTGAGATCTCTCTACATAGCCCTGGCTGTCCAGGAACTCACTCTGTAGACCAGGCTGGCCTTGAACTCACAGAGATGTGCCTGTCTCTGTCTCCCCAGTGCTGGGATTAAAGGTGTGCAGCACCACGCCTTCTCTTTAAAGGTTCTTGTGCCTTGGGGAGCCCAGTTCTGTCTGAAGCAAAGAAATTCTACAGACCTATCAGAGCCCTCAGGGGAGGGAGATGGAGTTTGGCTCATGTCCAGCTCACTCTTCCTCTTCAAGGAGGGCCAGGCCTCAGAGGTCACATTGCAATTTATAATTTTTATTGCATTTATTTCCCACACACATACATACTGCAGTGTCCTTAGGGGTCAAAGGACAATTTCTTCCACCACGTGGGTCCCAAGGATTGAATTCAAGTCATCAGGCTTGGCAGAAAGTGCCCCCCCCCCACCCCGGGCCATCTTGCCAGCCCCATCAGCTGTCACATCAAATAACCTACTCCCACCCCAGGCCAAAGAAATGAAACAAAAAAGGTCTTCTTACAGAAAAGACCAGAGATTCTAGCTAGGTAGGTGGGGGCGCAAGACCTGGGAGGTCAGGTTGATTCAGAGATGGGACATGGGACATCACTGTGACTACTGTTACACCCAAGCTTTGCAGAAATGGAGGTATTTAGAAGAAAGCAGAAACATATCCATATTTATATAAATATGTACATGATCCCCTCTGGACAACAGTAGCAAGCTTCTCAGCAGAGACACACACACACACAGAGACACAGACACAGACACACACACACACACACACACACACACACACACACACACACA